TGGGTGGCACTGGGCACAGCAGAGTCCCAGGGGACAGGAGGTCACAGAGGCTCTCACAGCTTTGGAGATCCTGGCTCAGTGTCTCAGAGTCAGCTGTAATCCAAATATTTGCTTTGGACTTCAGCATTCCTGGCTGAGTGCTGGGGCTGAGGGGGGGTGGCTTTATTTGTGTACACCACAGCTAATGTTTGCCTGCATTAGAAATTAGGGAGAAATATTTCCTTTTGTTCTCTGGAGTTGGAGCTCCTCAGTCATTTTTCTTCCATTTGTCATTTTTTTTTTCTGTTTGGTGGTTGAAAAAAGGTGCTGAGTGAAAGGCAGGAAATTATAACTTTCATTCCTTATCTTTTTTTTTTTTTTTAATTTCTTTTTATTTTGCACCATGAGCCTGCAGTTCCTGCCTGCATTCCTGATTTCTTGTTTCTTAAAACCTTTGGGTGCCACCACCCGAGGTTTTTAACAGCTGTGACTTTGCCCAAACAACTTTTTAAAGCAGAGGTTGCAGGAAAGTGCCAGGAACGTGCCCTCCCTGCAGCTGAGCCTCCTGCTATTCAGAGTGGAGAGTTTTAGCAGAAATTCAAATCCCAGCTCAGCTTTTCTATTTTTTTTTTTTTTGACAAACTGGACTGAGAAGAAGTGCCTGGGAGGGGAACAGTTCCTGGTGTCACTTCCACACTTCCTTCATGTCTTGGTTACTCCAGACAAACTGCTGGAATTCTCTCTCAACATAAAACAGGTTCAGGTTGCCCCTCCTGCATTTTGGGTCTTTTAGGTTTTTATTTTGCAATAAACTCAGCCCTTGCTCCCTGCAGAGCCCCCCCTGCTCTGCCCTGGCCAAAGGGGGCACAAAGAAAATAAATAAAACTTCTCCCTTTGGCTTTTCCTGCTCTGCCAACAGAAGGGACCTTTTGGATCCCAGCCCAGGAGCCTTTGCATGGTTTGTTGATTCTAAACCTTCTGCTCACTTTTTTTTTTTTTTCTGTACCATATGTATAATATAGAAATAATTTCAAATTTACACTTGGAATGTCTGTGATTTAGTGTTGTCTAGCATATAATTTTCCAGGTAAAATTGAACCTTTCTTTTTACTATTTACATTTTAGTCGATTTTTCCATTCAGTACATCTGTATTTCCCAAGGAAATAAAACTTGTGAGGTTTTTACAGAAACCTGTTTGATGAGACTGCAAAATTGGTCCCTAAAATAAGGCAAATCAGAATTGTATTTTTGCATTACTTTGTGTCTATGCCTTAACTGACTCTAATTAGACCTTTTAAGCTTAGAACACATAAAAAAATCTATTATGAAATAACATTTCCACAGTTTATTTTTGTCAGACATTCAAAATTGCTCTTTTACTCTAATTAGACCTTTTAAGCTTAGAATACATTAAAGAAATCTGTTATGGAATAACATTTCCATGGTTTATTTTCATCAGACAGATTCAGACTTGCTCTTGTACAAATTCTCCCACTTTTCTTCATATTTATTTTCTTGTATTATTTGTAAACACCCCTAATGCCCTGCTCTTAATTCTGTGCAAGGAAAAGCTTTTTTTTTTTTTTTTTTTTTTTTTTTTTTATGTGCTGAGTGGGAAGGAAATGATTCTTTTTTGGAAATTATCTGGAAGCTTTGTTTTATCAGCTCTTTTCTGAGCTTTTCTCTTGGCTGGGGTGTTCTTGGCACGGTTTTTATTAATGAAGAAAAAGCACTTGGAGGTGTGTGAGCAGCATCAATCCCTGGATTTTTTGGGATTTCCAGGATCTCAGTGCTGGGTGCTGCTGATGCCTGAGTGTCCCCTGTGGGTGCCTCCAGCTCCTTCTGGGGTTTAGGCTGAGTTTTGTGTTTGTTTAGGCTGGGATCAGTCCCAGAGCGTTTTGTGTCACACAAATTCAGTGCCTGAGAGGGGCTGGGGTGGCTCCTGCACCCCAGGAGTCCTCAGGGAAATTTTGGGAGCAGGCAGGGAAGAATCTGCCCTGCAGCCAGGGACAGGGGGAGCCCATGGAAATTCTTTGCAAATTGTTTTGTTTATGGAGCTCTGGGAAAGGTTTCCAGTGGGTTTCCTAATGAACTGGTTTGTTGTTGATGCTGGTAATTACTCTGCAAACGGGGGGTCAAGGCTCATCTTCTTTCCCACAAGCTTTCAACCATTAAACACAAACTCTGCACTTTGGGCTTTTCCTCCTCCTCCAAGTTTAACTCCTCACTCACAGAACTGCTGCCATTCATTTTCCAGGAGCTGAGTGGAAGGAAAAGGAAACTGGAGCCCCAAACTGGTTTTTTTTTGGGGTTTTTTTTTTTTTTTTTTTTTCTGTTGGATCCCAGCAGCACATCTGGAATAGGGGAACAAACTGGATTGCTGCTGCCTTGCAGCACTGGTTTTTACTGGGGGCTTGTTGGAACTCTGCTTTGTGCTGGGAATGTCCAGGGAGGAGCTGTGGGGTTTGTGTGTTCTGGAAAAACCAAAATTCCTGTGCTGCCCTCTCACAGAACCAGCCCTTCCCCAGGAGCTTGTGTTAGTGAAAGGCAGGGAGAAAAGCTTTGAGCAAAGGTTTTGGTGTGCCATTGAAAAGCTGAAAGAACTTCAATTTCCAGCACTTTGGGTTTTGTGATGGATAAATTTCCATTAAGGCCAAGGGGGAGGCTCAGCTGAGTCTTCCCAAGTGCTTTCAGCTGAATGTGAAGGAATTTTTTCCATGAAAACCAGAGGTGCCACTTTAAATATGTCGTTTTGGTGACTATTTCTGCATAAGGAAAAGGCTGATTTTCCATTAACCTTTCCTATGTGATGGAACTGCTGAGGTTCAGTTCAGTGTTAATAGCTGGGAATTGAGGGAAATATCCTCACAAAACTCGCTGAAGGTTGAAGTTGAATGAGTCTGCACTTTTCCATAAATCATTTGATTTTATGACTTCGAGGAGACAGTCATTTTATTTGACTGTTATTTTATATAGACTTATTTGTGTTTTTATGTTAAAAAATATTGCAAAGAAGATAATGGTTGTACATTCAATAACCACAAATTCCCCCCCCTATCAGTCTTGGAGTTAGAATTGATGGGACAGGGCTCCTGCTGTGGTCACATATTTTACCACAGGCTCCAAATTAGGGTTGCAGATAATGAAATAATGAGGAAAGGAAGAATGTTGGGGCTTTAGGCTGGAAAAAAAAGGTTTAATTGTGCATTTCCTTACAGTATTTTTCCATGTGGTTATGGTTAATAAAGCCATTAATTTATGGAAAAGGAAAGGTGGGGCTGGGAAAAGCCTTCAGAAGGTGGAATGAGTGAAATTCCTGCAGGTTTGGTGAATATGGAAACTCCTCTCTTGTTGCTCCCCTGTGACCAAAGGCAAAGAATTGAGCCTAAAGCTGCTGATTCTTGGTTTGGTTTTGTTCCACTCCCGTTTTCTGGACTCCCAGTGGATCCCTGGAGATGCCAGTTGTGAATGTTCTGCTTTGGTTCTGTTGTTTGATCTGTGGGCTCTGGCACCAGGCTGGGAGTGATGGAGGAGAGGGGAAAGTGCTGGAGGAGATCTCAGAGTTCCTGGAATTTCCCTCCTGTCATTTGGACAAAATGCTCGTGTTCATTCATTCCTGTGCTTTGGGTGATCCTGTCACCCTGAAATCTTTCTCGGGGCTGTCGATCCAGAGGAATTCTGGGAATTCCCAAACTGGAGCTTTGTGGTTCAGTTTGGTGTCACATAAAGGAGATGAGGTTTTGTGTCTCTCCTTAGTGGTGATGTTTTAGCGTTGACATGTTAATTTTTTTTTTTTTTTCTGTAAAGTTTAGTTACAGTGGAATATAAAAGTGTTAGAACTTGAGGGAATTTGGGAGGATCGATTCTGCAGAAATTGGGATAGGGATGGGCAGAGATGGAGGTGTAGGCACAATGACTTTTAGGAAATACTTGTGTTTATGACCACAACGAAATGCTTTGAAGGAAATTCATCTCTGTGAGTGTGGAGGGGGAAGGCAGGGTGTGGGATTGGCCACTCTTGCCAGGGAACAACCTTGCTGCTTTTATCCTGCTGGAGTGGAGCAGGGCAGGGGATTTATTGCCAAGGCAATTTCTGACCCTTCTCTACCCTCCTGGTGTGTGTCCCCCATTGTCCCCCTGCAGCCCTGTCACACACACACAGGAACTTTCCCTTTTCCAGCTGTGGGGGAGGCAGCAGCAGGATCAGCAGGATCTCAGTGCTGATGGGGAAGGGATGGAGAAGAGTCCTGGCCATGCTGGGAATGTGGCTGTGCCACAGCTGAGGAAATGTCACTGCACGGTGCAGAAAGAGCCCCAGAGGAAGGAGGCTTTGTAAATTATTCATGCTGGCTGGTGTGAAAGCAATAGAATTAAATTAAAATTGAAATAGAAACATACATCATGGTAGATTTGTGGACAGGAAGGAGCTTGGCAGCTGTGGGATGTGGAGACCACGGTGCCAGTGCTGAGTCCAGCCCAGCAGCATCCCCAGAGCTCAGCCTGGGCTCCTCCAGCTCTGACCAGGGGCTGCAGTTTTGGGCTTTTTGGGAGAGGCTCTGGAGCTGCCTCTGCTTGGAAAGTGCTCTGGACACCTCTGGGCCCGAGTCTTTGGGCTTTGCTGACAGAAAGGGGAGGAGCAGGTTTAATTTCAGGCATTTCTGCCAAAAGAATGGATAGAATGGTTTTGAAAAGGTGTGGAGGAAGGGTGGAAAAAAACCCCCAAACCTCCAATGACCTCAGCTTGGAGCTGAAAAGCAATTCAGTCAAGCAAAGCTTTGCACCTTAGAGCAGAACCCCCAGGAGAGCTGTGGCTGCAGCCCCCAGAGGCACTGGGGGGGTTCCTGGCTCCTTTTCCATCTTCTGCCTTTTTTTGATGGAGTTTATAAAGGCTGGGACTGGTATCAGTGCCCAGGGTGAGTCCCCTTGCTGCTCTCAGGCTGTTGATTGATCCCAGCAAAGGGATTTGATGAAAACATCCAAGGAAAATCACCTGGGAGTCCTCTCTGTGCACTGGCAGGGGTGTAACTCCAGCTTGGTTTTAATGAGCACATGCCAGTGGAAGTGAATAAAGCACATTTTCTGCCACTTCATGCTCTGGATGCAGGTTGTAATTACTGCAGGGTTTTTATTTCTTCCCTTTTGTGCAGGGTTGCTGTGCCATGGCAGGATGTGTCATTATGAAGTTTAACTGCCCCGTGCTCTAGGTCAGGCTGTGGTTCCTGTAAGGCTTTTCTGAGTTAGGGAGTGGCACCAATGATATTTTTTCAGCCTGGAAAACTCTGCCAGAGAGAGGCTGATGGGGGGAACGTGGACTTGAGGGCAGGCTCTGACACAGTAATTGTGTGTGATGCACAGAGCTCGAGCAGTGCCAGGCCCAGGAAGCTCTGGCTTGGTGAGAGGCTTAGAGGGAGAACAAAACCTTTGGGAGCAGAGTTTCCCACTGCCCTTGGAGGGTGCTGGGGTGGCAGCTGCTTTTCCAGGAGCAGGTAGAGCCCGAGGCATTGCCAGCACTGACCCCTTGCAGAAACTCTCTGCAGGCAGGGCAGGGCAGAGCTGGTTCCTGTGGGGCAGGACAGTCCCTGTGTGATACTGTGGGGTCTCCAGCTGTGACACTGTGGGGTCTCCAGCAGTGACATTTTGGGGTCTCCAGCAGTGACACTGTGGGGTCTCCAGCTGTGAGACTGTGGGGTCTCCAGCAGTGATTGTGGGGTCTCTTATAGTGACACTGTGGGGTCTCTTGCAGTGACACTGTGGGGTCTCTTGCAGTGACATTTTGGGGTCTCTTGCAGTGATTGTGGGGTCTCCAGCAGAGACTGTGGGGTCTCTTACAGTGACATTGTGGGGTCTCCAGCTGTGACA